GGGTGACGACACAAATACACATCAGATAAATAGATTATCAGCCATCACTTCAATCACCCAGGCCACTTCACAGCGGATCGACGGCGTCTCTCTCTCTCTCCCATAATACAAATACGGTACAGTACTCTCACCTCTTCATTTCAGATCACTTGTCTTCCTGGTTTCAGATCACGATATCTGCGACATTATCGACATAAAAGCTCTATATTCTTGGCCTCATAAGCACTGGGGTTGATGCAGTACCGTATAGCGGCTGTAGCGGTATATTATGCAGAGATGCACTTAACTTCCTCCCCCTCATGTTAATAGCGATTGGATTTGAGTGATCGAGGTTTAATGAGTGGGTTTCAGTGATGAGGGTTGAGTGATTTGTTATGGTAGACGTGTTAGGCCGGGTGTTCAGTTACGAACGCGCTTCCCTGTCAATCACTGGGTCGCGTTCTTCTGTAATGGTTTCGAACCCCCTTTTACAAGACATTTGAACTCTACAAAACACACGAACGCTCTCACCTACAAAACAAAGGGATGCTCTTTCCTACAAAAGACACGAACGTTCTGCTGCAAAACACGCAAATCGCTAACTCTTACAAATCACACGAACACACTCCTACAAAACACGCTAACACTCCTAAAAAAAAACGCACGAGAGCTCTTTACTTCAAAACTGTCACACGTCACATCCACCTCAGGAACGCGTGTGGCGTCTAAAGGGATGGCATTTACTCATTACACACGTACGCTACTACACGATACACACATACCAATACAAACACACGTACATACACACACACAATGACTAACACATCACACCAAAACCTTCTCCCACTACAAGTCAGACATCGACAGGACGCGGATCGGGTTCTTAAGAGCCGAAATAAGCTCCAGCGAGACGGTCAGTTTCACTTTCGCTCGGGTCAAAGAAGGTAAAAGTGCACCCAGTTCTCTCTCTCTCTCTCGTGGGGAGTGTGTGTGGGGGGGGGTCGCGCTTAGTGGGTTGGGCGAGAATCCTGTGTATTAGCGCCTGTCATTCTCTCTCTGGGTTTAGTATATATTTATCAATTTTCTGTTTTGCTGTTTTAAGAATAATTCTGAGTGAGGGGGCAGTTTGAGGTCAATGCTCAATGTTAGTTTTAGAATTAATCCTGACATTGAGGTCAGCTTCATGTGTGTCAGCAACACCTGTCTACTCGGGTCATTGCCTTCCTTGACTGATACTTGACAGTTGAAGCAAAACTATCAATGTTGGCGTCATGGACCAGCCTGTCAGGTATAATAGAGCAGTCTCAACATATCGCTTCAGTAGACACAGTGTGAACTTGCGGTTTTACTTCACTGGAAGACTTTAGTAGTTTAGATATAACGAACATTAAATTTTATATAACTGTAACAGATGTATTTTGTTTGGATTTATGTTCAGAGGAGCATTTCTACCTGGTGTGGGCCATTTATTCTGCGCTGCATGTCACAACGACCGGTGCTGGCAAAATATGTACCGCTGTGAAGTAAGTCACAGGTGACATTTTGCACAATAACTATCTAAAATAAGTCCCACCACAAAATATCTTCCCAGGTGTGGTTTCAGTATGGGATAATATGCCCCTATGTATGAACATAAGAACATAAGAAAATAAGGAGTCTGCAATAGGCCGGTTGGCCTGTGCATGGCAGCTCCTGTCGAGAGTTACTACCACTCTCTATCATCCATGAATCTATCTAGCCTCCTTTTGAAACTTTCCAGAGTTCCCGCACTTATTACAAAGTTGCTAACCTTGTTCCACTCGTCCACCACCCTATTTGTGAACCAGTTTCTTCCTATCTCCCTCCTAAACCTAAACTTATCCAACTTGAATCCGTTGCTCCGAGTCCTATCCTGCTCGGATATTATAAGAACTTTATCTATATGCCCTTTATTGATTCCTTTCACCCACTTAAATACTTCTATCATATCTCCCCGCACTCTTCGTCTTTCTAGGGAATGCAATTTAAGTTTCTTTAACCTATCCTGATATGGAAGGTTTTTAAGTCCCGGAATCATTTTTGTCATTCTTCGCTGCACCGACTCTAGTGAATTTATATCCATTCTATAATAGGGGCACCAGAACTGAACCGCATAATCGAGGTGCGGCCTGACTAGCGCAAGATATAGTTGAAATAAAACCTCTGCACTCTTGGTGTGTGTTGGGGGGATAGTCCTTTGACCAAACTCTAGGATGATTTATGTAGGAGCGGGAGCAGATGTAAGAACATAAGAATGGAGGAAACTGCAGCGGGCCTATTATTCCATACTGGTCAATCCCATTTACACCCAACCCCTATTGCACATATATCCATCCAACCTAATTTTGAAACTATCCAGCGTATTCGAGTTAATGATGATATTTGGTAACTTGTTCCACTCGTCCACTACTCTATTTCCAAACCAATGTTTACCTATTTCGCGCTTAAATCTAAATTTGTCTAATTTAAAGCTATTGTTACGAGTTCGCTCCTGGTTGGAAAGTTTGAGTACAAATTATAATGTTCCCATTGTTCAGCCCTGACTTCCATTTGTACCCCTCAATCATGTCGCCCCTCACTCTACTGTACGTCTCTCGAGGGAGTGCAAATTAAGAAGCTTTAACCTGTCTCTGTACTCAAGGTTCCTAATGCCCGGTATTAGTCTTGTCATTCTCCTCTGAATTCTTTCCAAGGATTCTATATCCATTCTGTAATACGGTGACCAGAACTGAACTGCGTAATCCAAGTGAGGTCTCACAAGCGCAAGATATAGTTTTAAGATGACCTTGCTAATCTTGTAACTAACGCTCCTTTGTATGAACCTAAGTACTTTATTAGCTTTGTTTCGAGCTAATACACATGTAGGCCTCTAATGGGGGAGGGGGGGGATATCCTAGAATTTAGGTACTCTTTCGCAGGCTTTCAGCGGAGTGCAGTACATATCTCATTTGTGGCATTTTGCACAGCACCGGGATACGTCAAGTCAATTGGGCCGTGGGTTTTGTTTAGAGGAATATCAAAAGTGTCAAAGGAGGTTGGTGGGGGGGGGGGGGCATGGCCAGTACAGCCAGCCCACCCATTTTGAAGCCATGTGCATTTGATATTAGAAGATATTCTGGTCATTATTAATTACATTTTACTATACAAAAACGCTAAGTCACAGCGTGAGTTTCCCGTGGAATTCTGTAAGTTAAAGTTTATAATAATACAAGAAAAAAGACGATAATAATGGTAATAGTAATAATAGTGTGTGTGTGTGTGTGTGTGTTCAAAAATCATCATTTTTTTCCATCGTTGTCCACAGTCAAGTTGTACCTGTCTTGAGCTTCTTAATTTCATTGTGGCGGGGACTTGGCCACAATTTTTGGCACAAGTTTGTATAATAATGATAATAATGGAAGAAAACATCACCGAGGACGGCACGATAGGTTTATTTGTCGTGAATTTTCTTAAGACGGCTGGAAGAACAGAATCACGTGAGGTGTTGTGAACTAAGTTAATTTTTGTATTTATGTTCGTAATATTGCGAAAATTAGGAGAGTGAAAGTGAATAGGAATAAATGTTCGTCACGTTAATGAAATGTGGTGGTGTATACTGTAAAGGGGAGCTCAAGATTAGATTCTGAAAGCCTAGTTCATCCAGCTCCCCCCCCCCTCCCCCTCCCCTACATCTCTTTTATGCTCCCAAGCCAAGGTACTCTACTCTCTCCCTCTAACTTCTGATCTCCCTTCACCCTTCCCTCTGTCGGTATCCCCCTCGTGATCTTTGACCTCTCTTAACCTCCCCACGACCCATTAGTGCGGCATCTTTACTGTGACCTAACTGAACTACTACCCTAACCCCCTGAACTGCCTCCTCTTATCTTCCCGTAAATGGCTTATCGATGGGTCTCTCCCACAACAAAATGTTTTTACGTGCTTTGAGAATTTGCAGCCCGGAATTCATTGATGAGGAATATAAATATATCTATAATATTGGCTTGAACCTTAAGTACCCTAGATCTTTTATAGACAAATGCCTTAACATTACTAATAAATCTTTTTATAGACCCGATCCCAAGCCCACCCATGACAATAAGAATCTTATAGTATTACCATTTCACAAAAAAATTCTCTCAAATTCCTTTACAACTAAAAACCTGGAACGTCAATGTGGCATTTAAAAACTCATGCACTGTTAAACAAATGTTAATCAAGAACTCCCCCAACAATACTGGTGGCTGCATTTATAAGGTTCCTTGCAAGGAATGTAATATGTTTTACTTAGGCCAGACAGATAAAGATCTTGTAACTAGACTTAAACAACAGAAATATAGTGATAGGACAGGCCAGGAATCCAATGCTCTGTTTGTTCATTTGAGGGATAATAAGCATTGCATTGACTGGGATAATGCCTCCTCAATATTACCTTGTAATTCAATTGACAGTAGGAACATTATAGAATCCAGTCTCATTAAACATGCCGAATCCGTCAACATGCATTTGAGTAATGGTATGTACAAACTGGATAATTTCGTAATTAAGAAGATTTGTAACCAGGTGAGAAGGTTGGGTCATCTTACCCTCTGACCTGACTACCGACTGCTGCGGTGCTTTTGAAGATTAGTAGGGTCACTACCTAGTGACCTGACCATTGTGGACTTGATCTCACCTTCCTCTACTGTATATACAGTATATGCCTTGTTATGTATTTCTCCTTAGTCTGTACTCACCCCTGAAGATGTGAATTACACGAAAGCGCTTGGGAACTTCGTGTTTTCTTTTTTCCTTGTGGTTATCAGCATATTCCTAGATTTACTTTATATATATATATATATATATATATATATATATATATATATATATATATATATATATATATATATATATATATATATATATATATATATATATATATATATATATATACACTTCTTTATAGTGTACCTTGAATGTACAGAATTTGTTCGTTTTCTCTGCCGACCCCAAAGGTTCAGAGAAAACTTTTGTAAACAGTGAGTGAGCTGCAGTCTGTGGGCGTGATCTGAAACGTCTTTATCTCATACGACATTTATCAAGTCATCGTAAGGTACACCACTTTATCTTCTAGAAAAATGTGTAGGTCGTAAGTCGGGGAGGAGCTGTACCATATTTCTAGAGCCAACTAGAAAAGATGTTAATATGCAATATACAAAGGAAAAAGTTTCTTACCTTAATCTCTGACCTGTCCGACTAATTACCCAAATGTAGCCGCAATGAAGTCAAATGATGGTCCTACAAGCGTAAATTGGGCTGTGAATCACTTCTCGATTATTATTTGGTGTCATAAAGTCACAGAAAATTGGTAAACTTATTTTAATCTGAGGTGTGTTAGGTTAGGTTAGGTTAGGTACATGCACTCGATCTATTAACTCAGATTAAATTAAGTTTACCAATTTTTTGTGACTTCGTGCTCCCAAATACTAGTCGAGAAGTGATTAGCAGTCCGATTTATTCATCTAGGACCATTATTTGACTTCATTGCGGCTACATTTGGGTAATTAGTCGGACCCTAATCTGACAGCCAAGGTCAACTCCTGGAAATTTTTACATTTTTTTATTATATTTTATTTTTTTAACATTATTTTTTCTCTCTGTCTCTCTTATTGTATACAGTACATACTACACTGCTAAAATGTTTCTAATTTTTCTTTGGTACTGCAGATGGGTTCCATGACAGGTTTGCTGATTTTGACTCAACCTGTCCGTAAGATCCTCCCAAGCCTCCCCAAGGTTAGTATTTGTTCATCTGTTTACTGGACACTGACTTCTCTGTTGTCAAAGTACAAGTATTTGCTTAGAAAGTTGGATTCCTCTCACATCTTATGAAAGAAAATTGAAGAACAAATGCATATGAATAGAAGGTTTTTAAACTTCTGTACAATGTAAAAAAGAAAAGAATACCGGTTCTACTGTATTACAGGGGTATGGGAATTGATATAAAGTACTGTACAGTATACTGGATAAGTACTTTATCACATTTGAAATACAGTAAATCTCACCCAATCCACACACCCTTAATCTGTGGGGCATTGAATATTAGTACAAATTATGTGTAGTCTATGTCCCAACAGCTTCCACAGTTTAAGATCAAAAATATTTACATTGGAAAGTACAGTCACCAAAGTAATCCATTAAAAAGTTTTGGTATTTTTCAGTGGAATTTTTATATCACGAAGGAGGAAAGTGCAGTACTGTACAGTGTAGTATTCAGGTTTCAAGTACCTGTACTGTACTGTACACTCGTTAAAAAACTACCGTTACAATTCCTGCGCGAAACAAACTGACTACAAACGGAGTGTTTCAAAAAGACTCCTGAGGGTTTCCTCCCATTGGTAGCCCTGCGCCTGTATGGGTTCGGCCACGCGTGCTCGATTCAAGTGATCGGCACTCTGAAACGAGTCAGAGTTAGTGCTGCCACACTAACACAATTTGAAACTTGATCGGAACTCTATGCCTCATTTCTCCTTGTCGAATACACATTGTGAGCAGTGTTGTAGCAGCCTAATATTGTGATTTACGTAATTAGTGCTCCCAACATTTCCTGATATCTTACATAAATAATGTGTATGTTATATGAACTGATCAGAATTGTTTTGCAGAGACATAACAGTAAGAGCTCTGTATATTGACTTCAAAGTTTAGCGTAATTGATACTGTTCGTAACACTTCAGCCTTAACATCTGTGGATACTTACCACAGCAGTTAATCACCTCCATCACGTAAATGTAATCACATTGTTCAGTTACGGCTTCCTGAAAACAATACAGTATTGACATAATAAAACTAATTGTCAAGGTGGATAGGGTCAAAAGGATTAACATGTAAATACACAATTGAACTTGATGCCACCCCTGTAAAGGGTGATAATAGTTTCTCTCGTAGCATGTAATGTTTCCATGCTGTATGAGACTCTGATGGGTTCATGAACTCATAGCTTCTCCGGAATGATTGACCGTATGGTAAAACATCATTGGGCCTGGCTCCATTGTGAAGGCAAATGAAACTGTGGAGCTATTCAGATGTTTCGGAACAGCATGGTATATTTTCCAGTAAGAATAAAGAATGACATAATGTGGCATTAGCCCAAAGTGAAGTAGCAATACAAATACAGATTCAAAATTTGGTTGCAAAATAATTTTATACCTTTACTATATCCACTAATTCTGCCAAACATATAATGCATTCCTATATGACAACTCATCCACTTCCATGGTTACTGTAGTTCACGGTGTGTGGAACATTTAATATAACATACAGTTTAACTTATCTAGATATACTGACATTCTCCAGTCATATTGTAACAAAGTAATTCAATATTGTCAATGAAATAGCTAGTTTTGGCCCACCAAATTTAGTACGAAATGTCTCATATCCAGGCCTACGAACCTGTACAGTATACAGGGTACCTTATAAAGTTGTTGTGTAGTGAATATTGTACTGTAAATGGTGAAAGCTAAGCACAATAAAACTTTATTTACATCTACCAAAAGTAACAGGGGTAACTTTTATTGTGTACAACTTGTTCACCCTAATGGTACTGTTTATTCGTGTTGCAATCTTGTCTGTCAATTTTTTTAACCAGTAATGATATAAAATAATGTGATGAAATGCTGTATCAGTATTTACTCAGGCCAGCAGCATTTGAATACTGTACTGTACTGCACACGGTGTCTCATTAGGCACATACTACAGTTTTTCTCTATTTCTTCCTCTGTGTACACCTACGATCTGTATTCGACCAAGAATCCAGAGGATGAAATCGAGAGATGGCGTCTGGAAATTTCAGTGGCCATTTGATTGGTCTTTGTTGCACAACCTTTGTTTATTTGTTATGATTTTTTAAGGAATTTTGGTAATATTGTGCAGTATTTAGAAATTTGTTATGAAAAATGTAATCAGTGTTTACTGTACTGCATAACTAAGGTATTTTACACCATACATATCTTTTATTATCTTGAATATAATAATTATTATTTTCTTCAAGGTACTGAAAGCAGCATCACAACATGTCACCAAGACCCTGTATGTTCATCTTGACCCACTGGCTAAGACTAAAGTGCCAGAGACAAAACAGCGCCTTGCCCTCTACAGTCGCATCATCACAGATATATACTCCAGTTCTCCATTGAACTGTCAAGGTTTGGATGTAAGAGTCCTCATGGCAGGATTTAAAGACTACTCAGATGTTCCTCTTAAAACTCAAGTCAGGGTTGATTTACTTCTTTTTGATCGAGCAAGAACTGGCCTTGAGTTGGCTGAAATAGAAAAGAGGTATAAAAGCTTTCTTATGGGCAGTAGAGATAAGGTTTTCATCCTTGATCAAGAGTGTGAAAATCAAAATGAAATAGAGTTGCCACAGGATCAAATTAATGAAGATTCAAACAAAATGTATTCCAGTGTTGTTATAGGGGGAACATATGATTGTATTCATGCTGGCCACAAAATCCTCTTAACTGAAGCACTGTTAAGGTGTAAAGACAGACTGACATGTGGGGTTGCTGATGGTCCACTTCTTAAAAACAAAATTCTCTCTGACCTGATTGAGCCATGTGAAAAAAGAATTAGTAATGTAAAGGAACTTGCCATGGATATAGATCCCACTGTTGAATATAATATTGTGCAAATTACAGATCCAATGGGACCCACTAAATGGGATCCTAATATGGATATGATTGTAGTGAGTGAAGAAACAAAAAAAGGTATAGCTCTCATCAACAAGGCACGTGAAGAGGGTGGTCTTAAACCCCTGGATGGATATGTCATTACATTAGTGAATGACGAGTGCCGAGTGAGTGAAGAAGAAGAGGTAAAGCTGAGTGCCAGCTCCCAAAGAATGAGACTTCTTGGAACTATTAGAAAACCTGTAGTCCCCAACCCTAACATTGCAAACCATCCCTATGTTATTGGACTGACTGGTGGGTCTGCTAGCGGAAAGTCAAGTATTTCAAACCGATTTGCTAAGCTTGGAGCTGGCATAGTAGACTGTGATAAATTAGGCCACAAAGCTTACAAGAAGAACACACAGTGTTATACAAAACTGATTGAAACCTTTGGCTCGGATCTTGTTAGCAGTGATGATGAAATTAACCGCAAGGCATTAGGTGCAAAGGTGTTTAATGACAAAGAAGCTCTTGAAAAGCTGAATAACATTGTGTGGCCAGAGATCGCATCTTTAGCAATGAAGCAGATTAATGATTTAGCAACTGAAGGATATAGTGTTGTTATATTAGATGCTGCAGTGCTTCTCGAAGCTGGTTGGGAAAAGATATGTCATCAGGTAAGCTATTATGATTATTGGTAAATGTAATATATGCTGTATATTTTTATATAGTTTTCTCTCTTTTTTTGTCACATATGTACAGTACTGTATATATCAGTCACCTTGTTTGCATATATTATTCAGTATTATATTCATTTTACCACCCATGTTCCTTCATCTTGTTTAGCTTTTATTCCTTAAACATATTATATCTTGCTTGATTTTCATCATTGGTACAGTACAGGTGATATGTTTGACAGTTGATGCCAAAGTCTAGTGCTTATTTATTTATCTGTCCTTAAGAGTGACTTTAAGTTTTACTCTTACAAAATGTCACTAAACTGACCTGGGAAAATATAATTAACATTGCTGGAATTCTTATAAGATGGTGATTAGTTTGAATATAAACGTGCTAGAGTTCACATTAGACATACAAATTTTAGTTCTAACTAATTTTATTACAAAGGACTAAAATTTTTATCTCTTGTGCAAAATATATGACGTTTATATTCAAATTATTCGCTGTCTTACAAGGATTCTAGCAATGCAAATTATATTCTCCTAACTTTAGTCTGTGATATTATATAAGATAAAAACTGTAAGCCTATAACCACCCAACCCTGGCTGGGAAGTGACAGTGACATGTTTGACAGTTGTGCCAAAGGTCTAGTGAAGTACACCTTTTCACATATCCTTTGAGACATTGTTACATAACTATTTGACAAATTTCATAACCGAATGACAGACAGAACACATATCGAATGACAATCTAAAATAACTGTTGGTGGTATGTCATTCTCCAATTGTTACATTCCCAAACTATATGTAGATTGTCCGTTTATTGTTCATGTCTGTCAACTTCATAACTTATGTCAATCATTTCCGTCAGCATGAACGAACAGTTATTTTAGATTGTTATTCGATATGTGTTCTGTCTGTCATTCGGTTATGAAATTTGTCAAATAGTTATGTAACAATGTCTCAACAGATATGTGAAAAGGTGTATTTATTTGTTTATTTATGTCCTTTAGATTGAGTTTTTGTTTTTTGCTTATAAAATGTCACAGAAGTGACCAGGGAGAATATAATTTACATTGCTGGAATTCTTTTAAGATAGTGATTAATTTGAATATAATCATGCTGTAGTTTGCACTTGAAATTTTTTTAGTAATCATTGAGTACATGTACAGTACAGCTTTGCCCTTAGGACAGTGTAGCGTGTCCAGAGAAACATTAGGAGCCAATATTAAAATATGATGCACCAGATTGACTCTCGCACAAAATAGGAAAGATTCGCTTTAAATTAAAATATTGTCCTTAATTGTGGGTGTCGTCTTAAATCAAAACATAATCTTAAATTGAATCGCTTTAAATCGACGTTCTACTGTAGTAAATTCTAGTATAATTAATCGAACACAACACCACACGCCATTTTCAACAGCTGGTGGACAGTAAACAATTGATCAGAACGCCAATAAACCCAGGCAGCCAGCCAGACAACTTCCCAGCACTACGATATGGGTGCCATCTGCGCAATTTTATGATAGCGCTATAGATTGTGAGTTCACATGCACTACAGGGGTAATGAAAGTTTAATGATACATAATGGCAGTTTATTGAATATACACACAATGACACCATAATTAAAACCTTAACTCTAAGATAAAAACTTAAAACTTTAACTTCAAGATTAATTTTACAGTACACTATAGTCTGGATTTACTCGGTTTTTGTTTACGCATTTGGTCATTTACGCGGCACCTTGTCAGAATGAAATGTTTTATTTACACGGTAAATTTCATCATTTACGCTGGAAGCGACGCGGGCAGGGTGCGCACAAGGTCGCCCAGTCATCAAAACATTACCGAGTTCTTCATCTGCTACCCACCACAACCGGCCTGAGTCAGTGATAGTGAGGATATGGATTTTGAGGGGTTTGACAAAGAGGCCCTGCAAGCCTCTGTGGTGGATAGTGATACAATTGATACAAGTGATACAGGTGAGGGCCAATAATCTGCCCTCTGCCTCGGAACCAACCCCCCATCCCCGTGTGCCCAGTCATCTTTTCTACTAACGTAAGTGTTAAAAAACCTAATATTATTGATATTTCTCTTAAATATTAATTGTGTGTGCATACCATCATAAAATTAAGATGTTATTTTTATTACAACGTACGTATTGTGTCGGAAAAAGTGGAGTTTGGGGGTCGGCCTAGTCTCTATTCAATTAATCCCATATGTTCTGTTATTTCGTTTACGCGTTTCTCGTCTTACGCGGACCTCCACGGGTTCAATTGACCGCGTAAATGCAGACTATACTGTACTTTAAAGTTACATTTTATTGATAATAAAAGCATGTACGATCACATTTTAAAATCCTTCTAAGTCTGCTGGCTGTTCATCATCTAACATAAAGAGGTTTGCATATGGGTCCGAATCATTGGAACTTCTGATTTTGTCGTCATTATTTGTGCTGTCATCCTCCTCTTCACCTTTGTCTCGCCACAACAAATCATCTTCTTCCCCATCCGTTGTATTTGAAATCCCACATTTTTTTAATGATTTTACGACAGTTTCTGCACAAACAGCTTCCCAAGACCACATTACAAATTCACACAACACATCCAGTGGTGGAGCACGCATATTACCCCTCTTCGTGAATGACTTTTCTCCCTCAACCATCCATTTATTCCACTCAGAACTAATATTGTCCTTAAATGGCTTATTTAGGCTTACATCAAGTGGTTGAAGCACAGACATTAACCCCCTTGTATTACTGCAGTTACAATGTTGTTTTGTTGTAGATGCTTCTAACAACAGCTGAAAATATCTTATCCCCATGGCTCCCCCAGCAAAAAGGATGAAATATGACTCGAGTTTCAAGCTGAAAGTTGTTGCATTTGCAAACTCTTCAAACAACAGTGCTGTAACAGATGACAGTTTAAGTCTTAAGCTGTGTGCCGACAGTGTAACGGACCCATAGTTTCGCAGCTGGCTGCATGGTGTTGGTGGCGCCACTGGCAGTTTGTTTACAACAGCTGATGCAAATGGCGGATCGTACGCCAGGTGTACCATAATATTCTACTATCATACCGTTTATAGTGGTACTATCAAGGTACTATACTGGTATGCTGTGTAAACAATTACTATTTTATTGGAGGTGCTGATTTTGGCTTGGTGTTTACCAGAGTTCTTACGAAGATTTTTAGTTGTTGCTTGCTGTCCTATATAGATCCTGTTGCCGTATTACACACTTTCGCCTATGTTTGGGCCTGGGGGGTCGATTTATATGGCAAGTACAGTATAGACCTAAATCTGAATTTTTAAATACAAATCTTGAGGTCGATTTATACGCCTGGTCTACTTACACGCCACAATTTACTGTGAATATCTTTGTTATATTTTGCAAATTTTTTTGTTAGAATTTTTTTTTAATTTCCCCAAATTGCCTAAGGGTGAGATTTTTAGTTATATAGTTTCAAAATTCCGTAAGGGCGAATTTCTTTCACCCGGGATTCCATATCACAAGGGTTGCCTACTGTACTCTAACGTGTCTTAGAAATAAAGAAAATATATTATAGAAATATAAAATAAGAAAAATGAAGAGAATGGGTGTGTATGCATGGAAAGTGAATGTATACATACACTTGTGGAGGCAGTGGGCTCTTAAGTTCATCGCTGTCTCGCTGCCCATCTGCGCTCCCTACTCCCCGATGTGATATCACAGCATACACACAGAATTTTTACTGAATGAGACCAAAGAGGACAAAGTTAGAATACATGAAAGATTCAGATAATTGGAATTTGGATAAAGGGAATTGCACTGTACAGTTCTGTACATATTATATCAATAGCCAAGTACAGTATGCATAAAATAATTAATGTACATTCGTCCAACGAGTTGATGTCACGGTTTTCACTATGATTTGTTCAAACCCCGGTATCTGGCAACTTGGTGGGAGCTGAGCGAGTGACTAGCCAGTGAACTGAACGCTGTTTGATTAAGATGGTATACTGTATTAAAGAACTGTTGAGCCAAATTTCTTGCTACTTAACTTTTTTCTGGCATTCCCTCATATTTTCACAGGTAAAATGTTTCAAGGTGGGTATCAGAAGTAAAAGAACTACTGTATATCGCATTCCCCTGCTTGAAAGACGAAGAAAATGTTGCAGGAAAAATTTAAACCGATAACACTTATTTCCTGTGTAAAATATTCTGCATGTGGCTTATTTCCTTGTTTAGAAGTTGCTTTATTTTTAGAACAATATGAAAGGCGTTTCTTACTCTATAATTATTATTAATTGAATAAGGTGTTCTAGAAGTTAGCAATTTACCCAAGTTTAACTTTTTTTCCATCCGTAACGAATGACTGTTGAATAGGAATATTTAATATTTTTTTTCAAGTCAGAATGCAATGCTCAGCATGTTACCTAGGTATGTTAATTCCTAGCTAACTCGCCAGGCCAACATACAGGCAATTAAAACATCTAATAATTACTTAATAAGTAATATTAGGAGGACACTTCGTTGCCTGGCATTTAATTGCAATTCTCAAAACCCCCTCCTTCACCCCCATCACACGCTTCACGACCTTCATCTTCTTGCCTGGGGATTCAGCTGTAAATACACACAAAAGAAGGCTCCACGAAAATGTGTCGTAATTGGTGAAATACGAAGTTCCACCAGGATTTTATATACGGTATTTATACTTATTAGCACAGTGAGGAAGTGACTCTGTCCTGAGTGTATGTAATAAGTGTACAAAGGGAGAAACAAAAAATTTAATTGGGCTTATAGCTAGAATATTCAGTATTGTACTGCAGTGTACTCTAAAATTTTTCCTTTCTTTTTCTATAAGGTTTGGGTTTGTATTATCACACAAGAAGAAGCAGTCACTCGCATTGTAGAACGTGATGGAAAATCACAAAAGGAAGCACAACGGAGAATTAACAGTCAGTTATCAAACAGAGACCGTGTTGCTCGAGCAAACATTGTGTTCTGCACACAGTGGGATGGAGAGTATACACAGCAGCAAGTTGAAAAAGCTTGGGCCACCCTTAGGAACTACACTGAAGAAGAAAAAAATGACCGAAAGGCACAACTATAGTAAAAAATATACTGCTTATTATTAGTCAGTTGTTAACGGGTAACTTTGTACTGTAAATGTTGATTACTTTTCTTTTGTTGTAATCAGGAGGTATGAGAGTTAATAATGAATTAATTATTTTCTTGAGAGTGCACATATTTTGAATATTTTTTATATAGCTCTACCATATTGTGTATAAGGAGACAAAGCTTTTTCATGCAGTTTCTGTATACAGTTCCTCTCTCATTCATGCAGCTTCACTCTTGATTGTCTCAATACCTGGAAATGTTCCGCACCAATTGTTCCAGCTAATGGGGATTTTATTACAGTACTACAGGTACTCGTAAATGGGTGTGAGAGGTGTTAATATAGTTTAGTTTGTAGAGCTGTGAAACAAACAGTAGTGACTGCTTTTTTCCCTCAAAGTAACACTATGCTAATGCAATACAAATCACAGGAAATTACCAATTATGACTCCATATTAAGTACAATTGTTGACTGCATAAAGTTCCTTCAAATTAACATAGATTTTTCTGAATTTACAGAACTAAATTGTCACTTATTGTAATGCTGTATTTTATGGTAGTCATATTTTTCATCAGAATCTATCTTATTAGTCATGAAAAGGTCCAAATACTGTACTATTATAATCATATGTTTTATTCCATAAGTCTTCTCACCACCCATGTAATGTACCTTGTCTGGGCCTGTATTTTAGACTGGGTCAGGTGGCCAGAAACAGACTTGGTAAACAGTATATTTACATGGTGGTAAACAAAACCTTAGATTGTAGTAAGTGTGTCTTAGAGATTCTGAAGTGCCTGGAAATAATATTTTAGTACAGTCTCTCCTCGACTTAAGACGGGGTTCCGTCCCGACAACCAGGTCGTTAATCGAAAAGGCGAAAATAATACATAGAAATTCTAAAATGGGTGTCTCTTTTTCTTCTCAGCACTATGAGAACTCTCACTTTTACGCTTGCCAGCCATTTTAAAGGGAACTACAAACGAAAATTTTGTCAGTACACAGCGTGATCACTAACGTCGGTACTAGAAAATACTTAATTTGAAAAATATTTTATACGACCACGTCAGTCGTATGTCTGGGTTGTCGTAAGTCGAGGAGTACCTGTATACTGTACTGTATTCACTTGACTATAACTGCATTAATAATCAAAAGAATTTTTTATTATTTTGTAAGAGTTTGTAGAATTTATATAAGTACAGCACAGTATGTGGCTGTTTGTGATGGTGAATCAATATTTTTTCCAGAGATATGTTGTTATATATTTTAAATTTTCTGAGAAAGATTACATTTGATTCTTAAAAAAAAAAAATCAATAGATACTGGATACCTGTACAGTACCCAGTAAATGTTCAGTTGTGATCAGCACATGTGATTCTCAGTGTCAAATGAAGCACATAAGATGAAGTTTGAGGAACTCAGAGGAGGAAAATAAATCCCCTTTATCTTGCAATAATCCCCAAGGATTTTTTCAGAAGAATAAGCTCATAGACTGGTTTCATGTGTCATAGCAACAGAATTCATGTGATGTTGAAAATTTCACCATAATGAGGGCTTGTTTATTTTTCATTGTAAAATGACTAAAACAAACAAATTTAACTTGAATGATGTTTAACTTACATTATGTACTGTAATGCAAAATTGGTTTACGTCATCTGTTTGTCCAAGTAGTGTTAGAAAATTTGCTGATAAACTGTTTCAGTTATTTGTTATGGGAAGTAACAAAGGAGTCAGTAGTTTAATGTCTTTTTTATTTACCTACAATTTTCAACTTTTTTTAATGGCATAATGTTCATGTTTATGTTAAATACCTGTATGAACTTCATGCTCAAGAACTATAATTGTGTACAGTATATCTGAGTCATCTCAAACTTATACAGCAGAGATTGACATTCAATGGAAGATACAAGTGAATACTGTACTGCATCCTTTTTGACAGCTGTAGCTTTTATGGTTTAGGTGTAACTTGCATGTCCCTGAGGTTTGTCCTCAGGTGATCTAGTGTGATTCTGGCCAAATTACAGTATGTACTCAATTCTTGTGATCTAGTGTGATACACAGCAGTGATTTCTTGTGCTGAAATGAAAACATCAGAAGGTGCAAATGACTGAACAGTAAGAAAACCGCTTGTGATGGTGATAATTTTTATAGGACTTGGCCATACAGTACACTTACAGCTTAGCTGATACTCTTTAATAACAGATTTGTGACTTTCTCTATGTATACTCTACTTATTCAGTGCAAATGCAGTTCTTTTAATGCACTCACTCTTCACTTGTATTATTGATACACTACACACAAGTTACACTAATGGCTGTATAGATACCGTACACATGTGACTCTATTGGTAAGTTTGCACGTACTGTACACTTATTTACCTAATGATCACCCACTAGATTTTACACAGTACACTTGTGGCTCTTTTGCTTTCTTTTATAATTAAGGTACAATATAAGTTTAATATATGGTCATGAATGATGTCCTATGTAAAGGATATGGGAATACAGGTCATACAGTAACACTCAGTCTGACCCCTGAGACTACTCATATTGCCACAATAAGAAAACAAAAACAAGACCTGGAGTATAAAACATTGTTTTTTTACTTTATTTTCAGCATTTTTGGATGAATATGCTGCTCTTTTTTGTGTAATATATATTTCCTTACTACTTACTAGACAATTCAAGACCTGAGCTTCCTACTACAGTACTTTACTATCTCTTTATTTAAAGTCCTTTCCCACATAAAACCTAAAAAAGGTGAGGCATTAATAGAGAAAGTGATGCAAGACAAATGTAAAAAGAGACATAAAAGGGCTAAGACATCAAGTGCAGTCAGTATATTGAGATATACACACACAACATCAGCTCTTCTCTTCAAATTTCTTGCACAGTGAAGTGAATATTAGCAAACTCATTGATCCATGCTCATTTAAATGATCTCCATCCTGCTATTATGTTTAGACCTCAGGTTGTACAGTACTGTATAGTGTTGCAAGATACTGAAAGTTAGTAACTTTGAGAAGGTAGTACTGTTATGGATGGTGGATGTGTTGTTGAACCAGGGGCAAGCTGAAAGAGAATCTGAGTCTTACGTACATTCACCTTAAGGGCGAAGTGTGCATACGCATCTGCATAGGTGTTCAGGATCTGGAGGTTGCATTCAGTGTGAGCAACAAGGGCGAGGTCGTCTGCATACTGAAGTTCAGTAATGGAAGCTGCTGACATTTTTGATCTTGCCTGGAGTCATTTTATGTTGAAAAGACCCTTCATCCGGTACTCGATATCCACCCCGCCTGCTAAATTGGCACTGGCACGAGTAAGGAAGGTAGCCAAGAAAATGTTAAAGATAGTTAGTGCCATTACACACCCTTGTTTAACTCCCATTTGGATAGGGAAGAACTTAGCCTGTGTGCCTATGTGCAAGACACTGTCGTTCATGCCGTCGTGGAGTTGCCTCACAATAGCAATGAATTTTGGTGGGCAGCCAAAATGGCTGAGGGTCCACGAGAGGGCTTTCCTGTTGACTGAGTCGAAGGCTTTGGTTGGGTCGATGAAAGCCATGTACAGGTCACGATGCTGTTCTCTGCACTTTTCCTGTATCTGGCAGGCAGCAAAGATCATTAGTGGTGCCACGTGATGGTTTAAAGCCACATTGACATTCTGGGAGGAAGTTTTCCGCCTCAGGAAGAAGTCTGTTTAGGAGGACTCGGGTGATAATATTGCCGGCTACGGACAGCAGCTAGATCCCGCTGTAGTTGCCACAGTCTGACCGGACTCCCTTGTTCTTATAAATATTGATGATGGAGGCGTCTTTAAGAGCTTGGGGGATTTCCTCCTTTTCCCATATATTGTCCAGGGGAGAGTGGAGACGGCTGATAAGCAGAGGTCCTCCTGCTTTATACATTTCGGCTGGGATTCTGTCAGGCCCTGAGACTTTGTTACTTTTCATCAGTTTGACGGCAGTAGCTAGCTCATCTAGGGATGGAGGATAGTTGAGGTGGGTCAGCTCTGGATGCTGAGGGACCTGCTGGATAGTCAGGACATCCACATTGGTGTTTTGGTTGAGCAGTGAATGGTAGTGCTCTTTCCAGGGCTGAAGAATGCCTTCATCGTCTTTAATTATGGAGTTACCATCGGATGGTGTGGAGGGGGCCTGTGCTATGAATGATTGGCCTATAAAATGTTATAGTGGAATTGAAAAAAATCGTGCATCTTGTGCTGATCTGCAAATTTTTGTGTTTCACTTACTTTATTTTTAAACCAGTCGTTCTTTAGATTGAGAAGTTCGTGCTGGGACGACAAAATAATATAACTTCAGTAGCGTTCGGAAATTCAGGATACTCCCACGAACGACATAAAATATGCCACTCTAGTTGGCAAACTCGACACTCACTCACTTGACAAGTTTTACTTACAATAAGGACAGTTGAAGCTTTCAACACCACTCACAACGGATCTTGAATGTTCCAACTGTAAACAGACATATCTAGGTTGCCTCACCAATTGCAGCCACAGTTGCAATTTCAAATTCTCTCATTACGAAGGAATAATGAAATTTCGGGTACATTCAAGATTGAGAGAAAACGGAGGACTCCAGAGTCCTGAAGCGATGAGAAAACAGACTCCTCAGATGGGGAACTCCAATAAGAAAGCATAGCTACATGTTTTGTGGGCTAAAGAGCATAATATGAATCGTCTAATTTTACGTTAACTGACGTGTATGACCGTGGTCATTACACTGACAATATTGTAGTCAGTGAGATGCCAGTGTTTGGATCGTGGGGTGTTGCCACGAACCCTTGAACTTGTCGGCCTGCCTAAACAAGGTACAGTATTGGTGATAGTGAGGTTGTGTGCAGCACACTTGCTGAGGAGAAGTAGGCCGTTGGGATTACACTTGCCTAGTCCATTTCTCCCTATGGTTCCCTGCCAAATATCAGCATCTCTGCCAACTCTGGCATTGAAATCACCAAGGAGCTCAACCTTATCTTCTCTGGGGATAGAGGTTAGCACTCTGTGGAGGTCGGCATAAAAGACCTCCTTGATGTCATCCTCTGCATCCAGTGTTGGGGTATATGCACTGATGAAAAAGGCCTGATGTGAGTGATTCAATGGCATTCAGGGTGTCATAAGGTGCTTGTTGATCCCAATGGGCATTTCAGTTAACCTGTGTACTGTAGGATGCGTTGGCAGATGGTAAAGCCAACTCCATAAACGCGGTTTCTCTCCGCAGCAGGCTTACCCTTCCAGAAGAAGTTAAAGCCATGCAACGGTGGCTGTTTCTCTCTACTCATACTGTGCCTTATCTTTTACTCTTACTTCTCTGTCTTAGTTCTTTTAATTGTTCTTTCTACTTACTTCAGTCCACTGGTTGCTACATATCCTCAGTTCCTTTTTGGTAGCATGGACGAGGGTCTAGGCACATGGGTATTGTAATTCTGATATCAAGTCACTTGGACAGAAATAAAGGTAACTACTGTGGGAGAAATGAATACTCCTAAAATACTCAAAGAGCAGGTTTATTAATATGAACTCAAAGAGGGGAAAAATATATCATTAACATATAACTACCAGGCTCACTCCTGGGCTTACTCAATTGCTAACTCAGTATTTCTCATTTACTTATTTTCTTAATTTTACTCCTCTGCAAGTTACTCAGATATTACACTCTTATTACTCACACCCTTACTGGTGTTATGTTACATTACATAGCAGGACCAGTTCCTTGGCCCTACTCACAATACATAGTTACATGACAACTCCTTGGCTCCTCTCAACTGCCAATCCCAGAGGGTACTTACTTCACCCACATCTTCTAGTGGTACATTTCATTACAGTTACCAGGCTTTATTCATAGTCCCAAGTGGACAACTTTACTTCTCACACATTACGAGGAACTTTCCATTACATCCAGTTATAAGA